TGCAGAACTCCCGCAAATTATATAACACTAAGAACTACAAATAAGGTAAAAACAGTTTTTCCGTGATTAACAGTTTTTTTCCCCCATGAGGTAACGTTGACGCAATAGATCGCTTAAAACTATTAATTGAAAATAAGAAGAACAGCATGAAAATTTATATCTCTTTATACTCCATACGCTTTCGCAAACGATGGTAACAGTTCATTTATTAGGTGTTTCAGCTAGTTTTGAGGGATTTTTTTGCAGAAGAAACATGTTTATTTTTGAGAGACGTTAAATTATATTTCATTCAATATATTTTCCATCGTTAGCTATAACTTTTCCCCACTTTCGGGCAACAAGTGAATTCCGTGTTAAAAATATTCGTCCTTCGAAGTATTCCACTCATCGAGCCATTTTTGTATTTTTTCATATAATTTGAAATGCTGGTCAGCAAGGCTATGCTACATAGATCGAAATAAGTGGTAATCGGAAGAAATACAGTCCGGTAAATACGCGAGGTGTGAGAGGATTTATTTTACAAAATGACGAATCATAAAATTTTTATACGATTAGCTGAAATTGTACTTTAGCTTTCAAGGTCGGTGATTACGAATCCGAGGTTCAAAACTCATTGTTCAAGATTGCAGATTCAAGTTGGCGGATCATGGAATTCTAATATATTTACCTGATATAGTCTTCCGATTAATTTTTCAGGTCTTTGACTATAAATCTGAGATGAAAAATGACGACTTTGAAATGGAAATTGCGAATGTTGATTTTCAAAATCGCAAATCATAGAATCCGTGATCGGCTGATATTGTACTCTAATCACTTGTTCTCTATCATTTTGTTTACTGGTCGTGAATTTAAGGTCGAAATCCAAAAATAAATTCCCAAACTTGTGAATCGAATTATTATAATGAAATGAGCTAAGATCCTGCATTAATTGATTTCCCGCATGATTGATCACGATTTTTACGTCAACATTTCAAAGTCAATTTTTGGAGTGATCGATTGGGATGAAGTGATAATGATTTAGTTTCCAATATCGCTCAATTCAGTCTCGTAGAAAATTAAAAGTTTGTTTTTGAAAACGACTAATTAGGAATGATATACCGGATGTGTCTCATATAATAAGACGAATTCGTAATCAGCGACCTCGATAATCCCCTGGTATAAATCCTTGTCAAGATTGTCGAAGTTTTCTCTTTTTTGGCTACCATCTTGAATTTGCTATCTTTAATTTTGAAAATCTGATAACAGATTTGTAATCATCGATCACAAAAACTCCACAATACCCATTGTCACCAAAATGATTGCGATTTTTCACATTTGTGGCCGTCATCTTGAATTTTGAAAATCTGATAATGGATTCGTAATCAGCGACTCCAAAAATCCTACAATACTCATTGTCACCGAAATTATCGCGATTTTTCATTTTTGCGTCCGCCATCTTGGATCTGCCATCTTGAATTCCGAAAATCTCATAACGGATTCGTCATCAGCGACCCCAGAAACCCCCGTATACAAATTTTCATGTGATTCGGATTTTCTGAAAAATACGTGCGTCAAAAGGTTAAGTTGGCGCTCGGGGCGTCAAGAGAGTCAAAGACACAACACGCGCTCTGGCTTTCGTTTCCCGATCAATTTGCATCTAATGAGTCGCGGAGCAGGCCGTCTTGAATAGCCGAGCGACTTATGAGCGTGGAGGTTTTACGTTTGCACAGGCCTTAACAACCGTATCTCTACGCGGATACGTAATTACATCTCAGCGTAGCGGTCGCGGCGTAAAATCACGGTTTGTATCACATTTAACACTCGAGGTACACTAAGTCGGTACACTAAGCCGGCGTAAAGTGGGTCGTGTAAACGTAGCCATTGATGCGCAACACAGTGCCACTCTCGGGGCTGTAGCGCGTTTCGCGACAATGCCTTGATTTGTCCTGGTGTTTGTCTCCGTACTACAAACGGCGTAACGTTATACAATCCGGTTTTGATAAAATAAATAACCGCGGCGGTTAACGAGAGAGAGAGAGAGAGAGAGAGAGAGAGAGAGAGAGAGAGAGAGAGAGAGAGAGAGAGAGAGACAGAGAGAGAGAGAGAGGCGACTGTCGAACTGTCGAGCCGCGCGTACAACGGAGACAAGAGAAGCGTTTAACTGAATTGAAACGCTAATCACTATCCATTGGCTCATCTCGCTTGTATGAGTCGACATCACAAACGTGAAGTACGTTTCTCGGAATGAGTAGTTCCAACGTTTGCACGCCTGTTGCACTCGGAGATATTGCGGTGAATTTTTCAGACGCGCGCATTCTTGCAGACCGTCTTCCAAAAACCGTGCGGCGAAGACACGTGAAGCGACGCGTGTGGAACGTTATTTCAGGAGCTGGTTTAAATATCGCTCTCTCATTGCATAAGTTTCCCGAGAAGGTTTTTCCCCAGAAACGATGTTTCATCATCGTGGGCGATAAGGAATGCGAAAACGCCGCCGTGAGAGTTCTCACGGAAGGAAATGTCATCCGTTCGCAATGAAGCAGAATTTTTCGCTTCGCTTCCTTTAACGGCAAGTTAGAATTTCTCTTGCCGGGAGTACCGGCAGCTAAGCGAGTCCGAAATTCTTGCAGAGGTGAGTGTACTCGGCACGTCGTACTACCAGCACGAGCTCGACGGCGGGGAAGCATTAGGAACTATTTATCAGTTGACTTTCCATCCCTCGTGCACTTCCCTCTGGGAAGAAACGGTACTTGGTCAAGAGAGAAAAAAGAGTTCCGAGGTACAATAGTAAGTTGGCTCCCGTGGAATGAGAACAGAAAACGGATTCTTAATGAAAGTTGTCATTTGTAAGAATCGCACTGATGAAATTCAAACGACGCAGACAAGCGTCTGGAGGATATCTTACTATTTTTAAAACGTTCAGGGTAAAAGTGAAGTGATCCACCTCCGCGTGATAACCTTGTGTATTACATATATTAGATCTGGTAATTAATTTCTTCCGATGAAATTTACATAGCTCAGAGCAAAATTTGATATTGAAATATTCTCCCGCTCTTTTATGGTTTTAAAGTGTTGATTGACATTTAACTTTTCGAAATGACATATGGTTTGCTGTTTGATGCACGTAATCTCAAATAATCGATAATGTCCACGATGGATATCAACAAAGAGCATATTTGATACGCACGAGGTATTTCGCACTTCATTTAAACAAAAACGCTTCTGAAGCAGCCAAAATGATTCATGCTGCTTATAGTGAAAATGCTGTGACCGATCGCACGTGCCAAAATTGGTTTGAACGTTTTCGAAGTGACGATTTTGATCTTTATGACCAACCGCGTTCCGATCAGCCGAGAAGATTTAAAGATGAGGAGTTGCAAAATCTACTGAATCAAAATATGGCACGAACAAAATAAGAACTTGCGGAAGAGCGAGGACTAAGAAAGCTACTTACGATCGTTTACATCGTATGGGAAAAATACGGAAAGAAGCGAAGTGGGTTCCACACGAATTAACCATTGACAACAAAAATCGCCGATTGACCACATGCGTTATCTTGCTCGCCAGACAACAAAAAAAAGATTTTTTGCACAAAGTTGTAACTGGTGACTAAAAATGGATTATGTATGAAAAGCCTAAACGCAAAAACTTCTAGGTAGACCCTGGTCAACCGACAACGTCGACAGCAAAACCCAAACGCTTCGGGAAAAAAGCGTTCTTCTCTGTAAATGTGGGATCAGAAAGGTATGCTGTATTATAAGCTCTTGGAGCCGGGTGAAACTATTAAAGCAGAGATTTACCAAGAGCAATTGATACGCTTGAGTGATGCAATCGAGAAAAAAGGTCATTTACTGGACAAAACAGCCGTAAAATCACCCTGCTGCACGATAATGCTAAACCGCATACAATAGAAGCCATAAAGGAAATCATCTTACTCTTGGGCTGGAAAGTTCTCTCATGCAGCGTATTCTCCGGACTTGGCTCCATCAGATTTTCACTTGTTTCGGTCGATGCAACACGCACTGTCTGATGCGCATTTTTCGACAGTTGACGACATACGAAATTTCATCGATGACTTTATAACCTCAAGGCCACCAAGTTTCTATGGTGATATATGAATATTTTCATGAATATTTCATCGATTAATCTTGTTCTATTGATTCTTAAATAAAGATTGAAAATTGTCGAGGATCGGAAAGAATTAAGTACTAGACCTTATATTGTCAAGGACACTCTCCTGAGTAACATTCAAGAGGTTTTAATTGTCGCTCATTGTTTATTGAGAAGTTATCAACGAAAGAATTTTCATAATTGAAGTATATTTTTTCCTCAGTGTACATGTGTGTGTATCAAAAGATAAACAATATCTCTTCGAAAAAAACCTAACCTGAATCATCCTACATATTTTTGTACATAGCTCTTTAATAAAATATTTTAAGGAGATTTTATCAACAATGCTCAACCATATGCAAAGTATAAGTTGAGTTAAGTTAGATTAAGTTAGATTCTTTTCAGGGAGAAAGGGCAAATTTCCTAACTTTTTTCGTTAATAACTTAATAACTTCTTAATAAACAATTAGTGACGGCTAAACCTTTTCGAATGTTCTTAGAAGAGTGTGCTTGATGGTATATGTAACACACAAGATTATTGAAGGTGGATCCCCTGAACTTCATTTTTACCAAACGTTTTTTAAGATCCTTTATTTTGGATACTCGTATCTCTAAAATATTCGTTCCGCCGGAGAATTAAGCTTCCATTCGCGTACTTAATTTATGAGTAATCACGGATCATTCTGTTTTTGTTTGGTAAATGAATGGAAAGCAAAACTAAAACCTGCGTAACGTATAATTTAACGTGCGATTCACGCGAAAGAGTATCTCGAATGTACACAGCGGGTGCATAATTTGTTTTGGTTACATGCAGGACACGCACTTCATGCATAATAACCGAGGAGTAGATATTACTTTTCAAGCAATTACGACGTGGTTGTTTACGTTCGTGTTTACTACCTCGCTTTGTGTACCTTTACGTCGATAGTCGCCGATGCGTGTTACGCAGGATACCCGTGTTGCAACGCAATTTTTCTGCGCAGAAATCCTGTAACGAAAAAAAGGAAGCAATATTAGTGCAGTGTTAGACAGAATTTAATAAGTGTACAAATTAATAATCCAAACTTTATTTTAGCGCCTAAGAAATTAAGTTTCAAATAATCAAATTTTCCCGCTCTTTTACGGTTATGTAGTGTTGACATATAGCTATTAAAAATTACATTTAGTATGAGGGAAGGCTCAGTATAACCTCAATAATTATTCAGTTCAGTAAAAAATGGCAACAGATAAGATTCATACCTGGCACTGCATTCTTTACGAATTCCAACAAGGAAAAAATACTGCAAAAGCATGCGAATTAATTTGTTCCATTCTCGGCGAAGATGTATCATACGATGTGTGTGCATTTTAGTTTAGACGGTTTCAGTTTAGAGGCGATTTCAGTCTAAAAAGAAACATCCGTGAAGTGTATATCTCCGATTTTGACGAAACTTGGCATATTTGTAGAGTAGCCAAAAATAAGAGACCCATATCTTTTTTATCGGCAATCCAGGTTTGACGAACTTTTATGCCGTACAATTTTTGTTTAAAAAGTTTTTTCCTATCTGCAATAATTATCGAGATAATATAAAGGGCATGAAAGAACTTTGAGAGACAGTTTCACCCCTTAAACCTGAGCCATTGTTGATAAAAAAATTATATGTTATTATATACATATTACTATGATCAAAAAGTATCCGAACCTTATTTTTTAAAAATAATTAGTTTAAAAAAGTTATAGAAAACAACGACGAATACTTTGATTGACAAATTTGTTTTACTTTCTTTTAAAATAAACCTCGAATTTAGTCGAAAAATTTGGCTTATTCATTTGTAACGGCAACATATAGATCAGTATGACGGGTTGCTTGCCTCTATTTGGACGATAATGCAGAGATAATGCGGTTACCGAAAAAGTATTGGTTATCGAAAATAGGGTCTATTTTTCAAAATTTTTTGCAGCTTGATAGTTGCGGTCGATTAAGTTGCAACCAATAGTTATACTGCGTTTCTAGTCCATTCATACTTTTACAGAAGCGATCTTTTATTGAAACGTGGATGAAATACAGCACATAAGACTTTTATATATTTCTGTATTGTTCTTTTTAATTTCCAATTTCTATCAAACTTTCCAACGTAAAAAGGCAATTAAGAAATTATGCAAAACCAGGAAATATGTTGTATTATCTATCTTCTTAAGTATTACTCTTATTTAATCTGCTTAATTCTGCTTAATCTGCGTAATATTTATCTCTCAGTTTCATTTTTTAGACATTTTTTTTATTTCAATAAGGCTCGACTCCTGTCGATAAACGATCGATAAATTGTCATAACAATCATGGTGCAAAATTAATCGCATTTATCATAACTGGGAGCGTTGCAAATATCATTATCAACAAAGTCAACGAGTGACTTTTTCTGCAACCTCTGCATTATCGTTCGAATAGAGGCAAGCAACCCGTCATATTGACCTGTACATTGCTGTTACACCCTGTACACCTAATATCATATATTTCACATGTATATATTAATAATAAATGTATATTGATAAAAATGTTACTAGATAGTGACCATAACAAGAGTCACTATGGCTCATAATGGCAGCACATCCGACAAGCGAAAAGAGAAAATGTTCGATGCGGTAGGGAGGGATAGATAGCATCCTTGGCAGGACATGAAAATTTTGGCTAGAAAGAAGGGCGATCCTTCCCGCACAGAGGAGTTGCTACACACGAATAACATGAATTATACTAAGATCGTATGAATAATCTCAACCTCCGCGACAAATGCCTGATCGGCGAATAAGCGTCCGCGCAAAACCCAGCGGTGCGGAAATTATTAATATTTGATGGAGCTTATGAGCTTCAACGTCGCGCGCCCGTATATAAAACCGCCGGTCGTGCATCTTTCAGTGCCGATGAAATTTCGCGCGCCGTTTATTCACGCTAACGGATACGATGGCCGGGTTCCGGTTTTCCGAGCGCAAATACGTAGATCGTGAAGGATCCGAACGTTTTGAACACGTTTTGAAATTAGCCGAAGTAGTCGGTTACGCTCGCCGAAAAATAGCAAAAAAGGGGAGAAAGAGATACTATGCAATCGAACGGAGGAGAAAAACGAGGATACATCTCTCTCTCTCTCTCTCTCTCTCTCTCTCTCTCTCTCTCTCTTCCCCCTCTCTCTTCTTTCGCGAACGAGATACTGCAGATATTCTCGAATGCGAATGCGCGCGAGGATCAAGTTCCGGCGCGTGATCCGCAGTATCCGCCCCGCCAGGCTCGCCGCTGAAATCGTATTAATTCTCGAAAGAGTGCTTTACTCGTGATTTAACTCCGCGCGTTCGACGTCGTGAGTGCGCGCGTGCGCTCAAGTTACGCCGTGGCCATGCATCAGAGGCGTGTGTAGCCCGCGGCGCAGACGTAGGTAACTACATTAGCTCCCTTCGTGACGCTCGGTAGGGTCCTTTGAGGGTGGTATGGGTGCCGAATACCAATCAGTTATGTCAATTGGCCCCAACAAAGTAATGAATGGTAATTGCAAGCCGCCGGCTCGCACGTCCGTCTCTCCTCTTCTCTCCCGCCAGCCTCCTCCTGCGCCTACGCACACTATCCACCCCTTTGACCGATTTCAAACACGCCCCCTCCGCAGCGTTGGAGTACACCGCCGGCGCCGCTCTGCACGGAGCTCTCGTATCCGTCGCGGAAGGACCCCATACGTGTCGGTCACACCATCGATTTTAAACCATCTAATCGGATTTTCACGCCGAACACGACCGGGCGTCGCTAATCATCGGCGAGCTCGCGCGAATCGATAAGTATCGCGCCATCTCGTAAGCCACTGGAAAAGTTTGCGTACAAGTCGTTTGCGTAGTCGACGAGAAACGAACGGATCAACCAAGGACATTCGGCCGCTTCGACGGAGAGAGGGAGATTATAATTTTAATTTAAATGGAATATTTTTGGAACTTTGGGAGGAAAGTTCGGCGGGCCGATTTGGTTCGATTGGGCATTTGGAGGAACTCTACCTGCGCAATAATTAACGATGATAATATTTAGTTCGATCATAGCCGTGTATGATATTAAAGAATAATTAATATTAATAAGAATAAGTAATATTAATATCAATGAGTCTATGCCGCGTATTAACGCCGGCTAGAAAAATTCACACTTTTATAAACATACCCAAAAAAAGTATTCTATTTGTAAAATGATTTTTCTCATAGTCTCATATTCTAAGCGAAGTCTTTTGCAGAAAAAGGATTCATCTTTTGACAAAGCAATTAAAGTGAACCATTCATCTAAAATTTATTAGATGTTATTCTAACTATTTTCCTCTTATTTCAAGAGGATTTCCTCTTATATGAATTAATTTTCCTCTTATATGAAGAAGAATATGTTGATTTGAATGTCGGCTCTTTTTGTTCAATCATGCTCTACCTCCAGACATGAGCGAAAAATAACTATATGCTCATGGGTCAGAATATTTGGAAAGTTTTTTAAAAAAGGTATGTGTATCGCTGTAACGTATCATATAACGAAGATAATTTACCCATATTTGGTCAAATACAGTTTATAATCCATTGCAAGAAAGTGAATAATATATTATTTTTTTTAACTGTGTTTCATACAATTGATTATGATGAACATCTTTATAGCTATAAAATCCATAACAAAACTGACTGGAAATTTATTTGTTATGATGATCTTATTTCATTTGTGCCTACTTACTGTAGAACCGATTAGAGCCAGAAGTATATCTGTAGAAGTATGTATATATATATATATATATTACTTTCCGCTATATTGTAATAATTGTTTCAAATTAATTAGTATAACCAGTAAGAGTAAATAATAATCTTATTAAAAAAAGATTAAATAAACTGTGTATAAAAAGAAATTTATATTAAAATCAATAAGATTTGCATTACACATATAACATATAATCCCTCTAACTTTAAGGACAATATGTTTATAATATTTTCCTCTTAATCTTAGAGGAATCCTCTTGAGGCCATATATAAGAATAAAATCTAAAATTTAGATGATTCCGCTTATTCTGAAATTACTTTTTTTTGCATGCATATGAGAGTTACGGATACTTCTCCTCCTTCTGTCCCCTTTTTCTTCCGAGCAGAGGCGCTTTTATCAACGTCTGATCGATTAAAATGACCGTAAAGTTACGCTACCCAACCGCCTGAAATTCCCTCCCGCTGATGTGCCTTGGGCCGTTTTAAAATTCGCTTAGCGGACTGCACCTTTTTTCGCAGCGCCGGAAGATTTAAAGGAGCGGCATGGTGCTTTGCACCCAATGACGCGGCACGTTTTCCAGACATGTGGCGGAAGAAAAACGAGGATAGTCGCCTGCCTACCTATCTGTTATCTGGTAATTACGTGGCGTAATTACGAATCTTGCATGCTCGGCTGCTCGACCTCACCCGCGCGGAAGGTCAGAAAAATAGGGTTTCGCCGGTGATTATGTTTTGCATTTCCGCATGCAATTACGCTTGATTACTGCCGGCGAATTCTGGGTCCGCGGTTTTTTGAGTAAAGAATACCCTGCCCTCTTTCCCTCTCTCCCTTCCTCTCTCTCTCTCTCTCTCTCTTCGTCTGCAGAGCTCCTGCCAGACACCATCGTGACGGCGAAGAAACGCTAAAGCACACCCCCGTATCTTTATTACTGTTATAAAGCGGACGTGACGCTGAAGGAGGGAGAAATTCCTCGGACTAAACTTCGCGCTCATTTCCATCCTACTCGTTAGTGTCCCTCGTCTTTGAACGAGCCGCGACGAAGTTCGCCAGCGAATTTGCAGTTTACAATGCGACGCGATAGGATGCTGCTGTATCACTGCCATATCTTCTCCGTTTTGACGACGATGAAACTTGTTATTAACCGCGCGGCACAATTATATGCGGCAGATACTTCGCCGCGGTCCACTTACCGTATTCGGATGACAAACGTACTCTGAGTCCTATGATAAAGGAGACCTGCCGTAATTGTGCGCACGCGCAG